TACTACGGTACTACCTGGCCGGGGAGTACCCCATTCCAATATCTGTTCGCCAACATGTATTCCCCGAAGCAGCCTTCGTGGATGCATGGGCTGGATGAGGCCATTGGCTATATTTCCAGAGCACAGTTGATCCTGCGGCAGGGAATTCCAAAGATTGATGTGGCTTTTATCAACAAAGACTCTGCCACCGATCCTAATTGGGCTACGAAATACAGCCAGAATGACCTTCTCGATGCTGGTAAGCCGTGCCGGGATGACTAAATGTCAGATAGACACTGACTAACTTTCCTCTATGTTTTATACACACATATCTTTCTCCTGATAATCTCGAACTCCCGGAGGCCTCTGTTCAAAATGGCGCATTCGCTTCGCAGGGTCCTGAGATCAAAGCAATTATCGTCACACAGGATGCGAACATAACCGTTTCTGCCATCCGCAAGTTGAAGCACTACGCAGAAAAAGGATTGCCCATCATTCTTTCCGGCCGTAGCGCACAGTATTATCCAATCTCCAATGATGGGGGAGTCGAGGCGTTCAGGAAAGGCGTTCAGGAACTGAGCCAAGCAAGAAATGTCCGGATCTCAGGAAGTGGCGATATTGCGAAAACACTCATCTCGCATGGTGTCTCTCCTCGGATCAAAGTTCAGACAAACGGTACTTGGTATACGACTTGGCGTGAGGACAATGAAGCCGAAGTGGACTACGCGTTCATCTTAAGCGACGGAAGTGATTCTCAAGGCAAAATCAGAGTCGAAACCGACAAGATCCCTTATTTCTTCAATGCCTGGACCGGAGAACGCCAACCAGTATTTCAATACAAGCGCCGAGCTGGTAGCATCTTCATTCCCCTGACGCTGAAAGCCAACTCAACCGCGATACTGGCATTTAGCGCCCAACCTTTGGACGGTATGTACACACCCTCCGTTCATGTCGAGTCTGGTCCCAGCTCAGTTCTTGGCTACCACCTTGACCACAAAGGCGGAGCCGTTGCACAGCTGGCCCACACTGTTCAAAAGGCTGCTCAAGAGTTTGTACTGTCCGACAACTCAACCAAAGTTGTTCCAAGCACATCAGCTATCCCAACCTCATTCCCAATTCGAAACTGGACGCTCACCGCAGAGCACTGGGAAGCTCCCAAGAACATGCAAGATGCCTCTACGATAGCCTTAACTCGAAACACGACGCACCATCTCTCTTCTCTCCTTTCTTGGACAGAGATCCCCACCCTCGTTAACGCCTCTGGAATCGGGTACTACAGTTCCCAATTCGCTTGGCACACCGACTACAAGAATCAAACTGGAGCTTACATTACGTTCTCTCGTATCCTCCACGCTGTTCAAGTCTTCGTGAACGGGGAAAAGGTCGGCCCTATCGACCCAAACACGGGAACTGCGGATATCGGAGCCTATCTGCGGGATGGCGAGAATGAGCTGCTTGTTGTTGTTCCAACCACAATGTGGAACTATCTAAGGAGCATCTTCTCAAAGATCACTGAGTCAGGCGTGCCTCCGTTCTTGAGTCGCTTGGCTGCCACGACGGGCTTACCCAACATTCTCCCTATTGGGTTGGTGGGTGAAGTTCACATTTTGCCATACCTTTCATTTGCACTTGGCAATTGAACTGGCGCTGTCGAAAAGGACTGACTTTCATACAATAGAACGAATAGATCATGTACAATTTTCCTTTTGATGTGTATTTGTGTTTACACTATGACTCCTTGGGCTGTGGTAGTAATTTCGGCTTCGTGTGTAAACCCGAATTTTCTCCATCACCATCCCTATAGATCATCTCTTATAATAATTTAACCAATTGTCCACCTCGTGAAATACACTCATTTCTTCCCCCGATTTCCAATCTAAACTTGACAGAGAGATTATTAGCAAATAGTGGTGCTATGGAAATTCACAATACCATCCTTGCCAAATCATCGGCATCCGATAACCAGTGGTCTGGAGGCCGTTTGGCTTAATTGCTCATGTTAATACCCCTTTGGGTAGCACTGTGGTTTCAGGTGAAGAGGCCCAGTTTGGCTTTGCGGTGCAATTTAGATTCTCATAGCTGCTGCGTGGTTGGCCGTTCCGGTCGATCCTCAAGCCAGAGAGCGTCGGCGTAGACTAGCGCCTTATTGTACATGTAGAATTAGCTTGACCCCAGAAAACCATCCCGCACTTTGTTGGCTAGTCTGCAGGGGTAGAATTGGGGTCGGCGCTCCTCGCCTACTTGAAAAGAGATTTCACCAAAAAAGTGACATTTTCTTTTCAAATCGCAACACGATTCCAAAAAATCCCATAGCATCCTTTCTCAAAATTGAAATGCCTTTTATACAGGGTTTTTTTCGGTGAATCGAATTTCTATTGTCCACTGGGAGAGCGTATCATCGCCAGCTGCACATAGTCGGAGCAGGGTAAGAAGGTATCAACCTCCTGGAACCCATGTTTCAAATATAAGGGTGTCCCAGCCGGAGACGCAGACAGATAAACCTCTACGCCTTCAGCATCGGCGCGCGTGAGACCCCATTTGAGGAGCTTCGCACCCAGTCCTTTACCCTGATAGGAAGGGTGAACACCCAACATATCCAGATCTATGCATCGCGGTTAATGATGGCTGTTCACATCGTGCTTATTCGGGGAATGCACCAAGCACCACGCAAACCCCAAAGACTTCAGAAATAAGGAAACGTACAATAGTGAGGCCTCTCCCCCATCCACTTCTCATGTCGCTCCTCCATACCACGGAAAAAATGGTCACAAAGCTCCTTATCACTGCTAGCAGGCCACACGATCTGTTCTTCGTGCCGATCACGACCTGCAGCCGGAACGGGAAGCTTCCATTTCGCAAACGCGACAATCGCGCCACGATCCGACCCCTCCGTCACCTTGAGTAATACTTGGGTCTCGCCTGCAATTGATCGCGTGATGTCGTCGCTAAACGATTTTTCCCACCATTCCGTCACATCCGGCGTGTTTGGGAACATGGTTGTGTCGAAGTCGCTACAGAAGCTGGCGTGGAAGACTTGTGTGAGTTCCGGCGCGTCCCCCACCGACACAGGGTGAATCTCCAGTGACATTTTAGGAGGTGGATGTGAAGTTTGTGCGTAAAAATCTGCTGAGGTGATCCGATAACCGAAGGGATAGGGTGTGCATTGAATTGGGGTTTGGGGATGGAGTTTGAAACTGCGAGATCTTGAAATCGCTAGAAAAACTCTACGTGGGAAGATCTCATTTGACCCATTAAAATATGGCCCGCCGAGTTAAAGATACACATTTGGGTGGCGGAGGGTCCGTATCTTTTGAAAAAAAAAGAGATAATAATTTTACAGGGGTCGGTTGCCATGCAAATCTCTATTTTCCTTAAATTTATAAAATTGAAGCTATTCCAACCTCTCAAACCATCAATGTCTTCAAATCCCCGGCGTTGAAAACCGACCTCGACCGTATAATCTATCAAATAAAAGCTGTTCCCACCTTGTTAAAAAGGGGATTCTATGAATTTTTTAGCGATAATAGATTAGTTTTCTTAACAGCGAGATTTCGTAGGTTGCAACAGCTTCAATGCGTAGAAGTAGATATGATATAAGGGGATTTGTATGGTGGGAATAGCTTCAATCTTTTCAACGTTCAAAGACACTATGCTTACTGAGCCCCTGTCATCGTAATTCAGATATTTTCATTTCTACCAGTCTAAACCAAGGCATAGTTCAGGCAGATTCAGGCATTTGACTTATGGCCGCTCTACCCCTTCGCAGAGATCCTCAATTCTGCATAGATGATCCGCAAGATACGTAGTCTATCTACTCTGACTGCAACCCACAAATATTAGCCACTACATGCAGCTAGGTCACAAAGAGTGCAAGTATGTTGTATACGAGAGATATGCGTAGGGCACGGAGCACTCTATACTCCTTTTTAATGTTACAAAGCAATGATCCCGAAATGGGGCCTCTGAGCCGCACACCACTATTGACTGAAGGTGGACACTCTCTAGCGAGTCTCTCGAGGCTTTAAAGGAGCATCTGAGAAGGCGCAAGACTGCTTCGGTTTGCACAGGGTGATTTTCTGTCAAACTTGATCCTCCTTACGCAACATTTTTCACACTTAAGTGCTTGGAAAATGAAACGTTAGTAAATGTTGGCAAAACGTCAGGAGTAGCCCTGATAAGAAAGGGTATATTGAGGAAGATATATAGTCCTATCCCACGTACTGTCCATATTAACAGGTTAATCAGTACTTATCAAAAATAAAAACAGCTGATCTTCTTTGTTGATTATCCCCACTGCTCTGGTGGGAAATCAGATACAAAGTGTTTGCCAAGTTTGCATGGGCCAAGCCCCTGTGGACTTGGGCATGCAGGCACCAATTGTCATTCCCAGGCCACAAGTGGGACATATGCGATATGTAACCCCAATGCTACAACATGATAATAATCAAGTATCAACTTTTTTTTTTAAGTGCTGATGGAATTATATTATGCTCTAGAAAGCCCCTTTAATTTAAGAGAAAACCCTGCTTCCACACGGCAGACCGCAGAGTCCAAACTCGAGGGGCTCTGAGACCATATATAAGCAAAGTGTCGCCATACCACGCCATCTGGCACAAACCATCACCATCTCCCCCAAGATGGCGACCAGTTCCAATAAGAAAGAGGCATCCGACCCATTCACAAGGAAGTGTTATCCTTGGGGATGCCGAACTGCCTTTTTAAGCCACCGAGGCGGGGAACTTCGATAAGAAAACCATTGCCTGCGCCCTGCGACAGATCTCACTTAAACCCCCAAATCTCCTTTGGGTCCAACACACATCTTCAAAATAATTTTTGATGCAATTATGGGTGATGCATCACTCCCAACAGAGCATGTGCTCATTATTTTCTATCCGACGATGCCGGCAGAGCTGAAGGGGGTTATCCGGCAGAAATTCCCCGATGCCGAGGTCACTGTTTACGAGGTTCAGACAGGTGTTCCCGTGCCACCTGGTAAGTGACGCACATCCTCCAAGATGCGAGGACATAGAAACTAAAAGCCCGCATAGAAGTATATCAGAGAGCCACCGTCCTCGCGACTTTCATCGATCTTCCAGATCTGAAGGATTCCAAGAAGTAGGCTCCCACGCCAATGAGTTTTACTGCGCACTAACAGTTATAAACAGCCTTAAAATAATTCACACCTTCTCTGCTGGCGTGGATCATCTTTTGCAAAATCCAATCTTGCAAGAAACTAACATCCCCATCACTACAAGCTCGGGTATCCACGGCCCCCCGATTGCAGAATGGACCGTTATGAATTGGCTGGTATCGTCTCGGAAATACGTCAAGGGCTATGAAGCACAGAAATCCCACTCATGGGAGAAGTCTGCGTACACGTCTGGTCTTCATGATCAAGTGGGCAAGAAAGTGGGTATTCTAGGATATGGAAGTATCGGGCGCCAAAGTACGTTTTCCCCGTTGTTGCTCAACACCCCACAAGCTGCAAATTCCACAAAACGAAGGACTCCAAGTTGACCACCGATAGTTGCACGCGTCTCGCAGGCATTGGGCATGACTGTTCATGCATACACCGCTACCCCACGCCCAACACCTGAGTCCCGCCGTGACAACGGCTACATTGTTCCTGGAACCGGAGACCCGGAGGGGTCGATTCCGGCATCATGGCACCACGGAACGGACAGAGAAGCCATCCGCTCTTTCTTGGCTAGCGGGCTCGATCATCTTGTTGTCTCGCTTCCGCTGACTCCGCAAACAACCCGTCTTCTCGGCGCAGAGGAATTCGCCATTCTAGCCGACAACGCTCATCACCATACGAGCAAGCCTTACGTAACCAACATCTCGCGAGGCAAGGTTATCGATCAGAAGGCGTTGGTCGATGCGCTGAATTCCGGGGTCTTAAGTGGAGCCGCTCTTGATGTCACTGATCCCGAGCCTCTTCCTAAGGATGATCCTCTCTGGGAGGCGTCTAATGTTCAGATCAGTCCACATGTCAGCGGTCTTGGCGTGGAATATTTCCCTCGCTCTCTTGATATCCTGGCTGTAAACCTGGAGCGCATCGCCCGGGGTGAGCCGTTGATCAACGCTTATGTACGGGGCAAAGGATATTAGGATTTTTGCATTTAGGAGTTGGTTGCATTTATGCGACAAGGCCGGGCCCCTGTATGCCTTCAAAAGGCTGGGTAACACATCCGCACAACTTCATCGGAGTGATGTCGTTGTCCAACTAAAGATTAAGGAAGTTTTTGTAATCTGGGCGCAGTCCGAACGTTCCAGGACCAAGATGGTCCCCAAGTTCTACGAAATAAATGGTTAAGAATCCTTCTATTTGATTTACGCGTAGAGTCTTCCACATCAAACTCCTCAGATATCGCTCACGCGGCCTTCACTTTTACCTTTTCTATACTGTCATTTTTTTCCAGCATTCTTATTCCCTCTCGTATTTAAGAAACCCCCCTTACTTACTGCTTGGATGGCGGGTGCAAATCCTCCTATTCCCGTTGTTGGCTCCGTGTCGCCACCGCGTCCTGGCTTGTTTCCCGTCACATTTCCTTTTTTTTGCGGTTTTGAACGGAGGTTTGAGACTATGCAGGTGTAGGCTGATTCTTATTGGCTGGTGCATTGCTTTTGATAATGCAGGTAAAGATCATCAAAATCAAAAAAATTAAATGCCTTCATAGGTAACAAGCACGTTAGTAGATATTATAAGCACCTCTAAGCCCCTCCTCGATCACCAAGCCACTAGAGCCACAACCAACAACAGCCAATACCTATGGATTCAGCAAGTTCCGCAAGTTAGGCCAGAAACTATTCTTCTCTCTCTGCCATTTTCGCAGCTGCTCATACTTATGCATATCCTGAGGCTCATAGCGCTCTCCCTGGCTAGCCTCAGTCTCTTTCTCGCCGCCCACAAACTGAAGGAAGAGGCAGTTCACCTCTGGCCCCAATATCACAACTGGATAAAATGGTTCAGCCATGTCAAGCAAAGCAATTAAGAAATGGACTCAAGTGCCCCCAAGGTGACCCGATATCCATTAGCACATGTCATCCAACGAGAGGGATGATATGTTCAAAGTTATTAAACTCACTTCGGATGCCGCAACAAGCCTCAAACACCCATGTCTGCACAAATCCGTCTGTTCCTGTCGATGCAGTCCAAGCCGTGTATCTGCCATGGTTTCCATCGCAAACACAGCACCGAAAAGCCCAACGTCAAGTGCCCGAACAACATTAATCGCATCATCGCCTATCGGGAGCCTAGTTTCACCCGTGGAGAATGGAACGGTGAATGACAAAGAGATCACACTCAGCAAAATAGCTTCCGGAAAAAACACTTTCACAAAAGTACTTCTTCCACACCCCGGCTTCTTTTTCATAAATTCGTACCGCTCATCATCTGTCCCGCGAGAAAATGACCGGCAGGCAATCTGGGCAAAGAGGCTAATGACCCAGACAACAACGTAACTGAGAAGAACCTTTTTGCGTCCAAGGTAGAGGCCTCACAAGCTGTTCTGAATGAGATTCCGTATTTGCACATTGGTTGCCCGATGGCAGTCCACCAAGCATTTACAACTCGGGCGGACGGCCAGAGCCGGTATTTGAGTTCGAGTCGGTTTTGTTGCTTCGGCTGCAATGTATGTTGCGATTGAAAGGCTCGAATACAGTCCGAGGGAGGGAAGGATAGTTGATCTTAGGGTCCCTACGTCGCTGGGTGTTATCTGGTTTCTCAGGGGTGGGGTAGTGCAAAGAGCTAGAGGTCTGGTTCTCCAGAGCTGAGGGGGGGGGGGATTAGAAATGCCATTTTGGGGTATGATCTGTATCCTTGAAGGGCTGGGTTATGACATGAATTTTCTGTGGCTTTTTGGTCTATTTGTGTCTCGTTGAGAGCTACCCAGATATTGATGTCAAAGATTATGTCAAGTAAGCATCTGGGAGGCTAATGCAGAGATCCCGAGCTGATGTTGCACTTCTGTTGAATTGAAGACAATTTCATACATTGAAATGAAAAGTAATATGCAGCATTAGCAGATTGAAGTGCGTAGAATTACTCATATAGACGTGTGTGGAGGCTGGCAACTATATCCAGCCGTCAGGCACATTCATTTCTGTGAAACCCACACTCCAAGGTACCTTTCACACCTGACCTCACGACAGTTGTTCAAAATTTGCCTCTATTTCTGCCTTTTCTCTTCAGTCCCATCCCGGCTTCAAGCTGCCCCTTCACGTACCCCGTCTCGGGTGTTGCGATGTAGTTTGGTGAATGTTGCACGAAAAAACTTGGTGTTTATGTTTTTAGTGAGCCAACAGTCGAACTCGAAACGGGTTACTTTAGCACAAAGCATTCTCTAGTACTAAAATAGACAGGCTCTGAATGAGACCTGCTGACTCGGTTTCTATCAAACCCAAAAATTTGTGGAAGGGATTGTGTAGCAACACGAAATTATAAAGTGTGAATATCTGACGTTTGATATTTAGAATAAGAGGTAGTCTGTAAAGTCATAAGTATAAATATGAGACAGTGTAGGAGTATTCTGGAGCATGGTGGTGAGCAGTGAACATATCGCCCAAGGCATTGATTGAGCAAGCATAGCCAGCCTTAATTGATTTGAGCTGTTTGCACTTGCTGAGAAATTTTGGTCGCGAGATCGATTTGAATACTGAACGGCTTTGATTCATCTTTGTTCTTGTATTGCCTCTTCATAATAAGCATCAATCGTTCATTCCAGAATGGCAAACATGTTTCAAGATCAGATGTTGAGAATGCAGTAGTTTCGTTGTCACTCTCAGTGTATAGATTCTCTGGCATATTGCACCTGAAAGAGTTCGAGCCAGGTGACAAGTCAACCGAACAGGTTAAACCGAGATCATGCAGGCCGGAGCCATCGGGTATACGTTCGAAGGGAAGTCGGTTGGTGGGTGTTCTCTCGGTTTTTCCACCCCCCCGTTGAAGATTTATCGGCAGAAAGGTCCCTCGCCTGCCGGATAAGATAAGCTCGCGGATCATGAGGAGAGAGTTTTGTCGCAGAGATCGGCTCGTCGATTGAAGTTTGCGACGAAGTTAACGCAGCTTTTGCGGCAAGATATCGACTGCGATGAGGCGAATGGGATGCCAGAGCAGACTGCGAACTGGATGGCTTCTCATTCATCTTGAAGCGTGTGCGACTGTTCTGGATGGCTTCTTTCTTCCGCCTTTCGAAGTCAAGTGCTTTTTCCAGGTCAGATGGTTCCTCGTGGCTGACGCTTTCGTGGAGTTGAGCAGCCCATCTATCAAGAACTGGGAATCCTTGACCACTTTTCAGTGGGTCTGGAACATTTTCCTCTTTTTCATCTTGTAGCGAACGCCTATGGTTAGCGGCTTTTGTGTGGATGCTATTTCTGGAAGAACTGTCCGAACAACTATAATTCTGTCCACCGACGCACAAGATGTTTGGCAAAGTGTTCGTGAGCACACCAAATCGTTGTTGTGCAAGGAAAGAAAGGGATGAGTCTGGTCCTTCCTCGGCTGGAGTTTGCTGTAGAGAAACTTGCGTAGTTCTTTGGAACCAAGTGTCTAGAGCTCCGTTCCCATGGCGATCTCGATCATTTCCTCTCTCAGCACATTGGGCGCTCGAGATGCGATTGGTCTCAGGAGAGGACTCGACCAAATCTTGTGGCTTCTGTCGAAGGCGTCTTACTGGCGACTTCGATGCAATTCGAGAAGTAATAGGACTTGCCAGGTCCGACATGGGCGAATGCTGGAAGCCTCGCGATTCCGTCTCCCATCGGTTTAGCCCCTGCAGGCTACTACTAGATAGTTCCGCGGGGCTTGCTTGTTTGGAAGAATTGCTCCCGCGTCGGGGTGTTCGTAACGAGGCATTGATTCTGGATATAGACCACGGGTTGACGAAGCTAGAACGTTCATTTCTGGCGCTGGTCGATTTGCTGAGGCTTTCGGGGTCCTTGTAACTAGAAGGAGCCACTGGCGAAAAGGCGTTCTCAGACAGAAGCGGTTTCTGTGAGAGAGGTGTGTGGGGTACGGTTTGATCGAAGGAGTGCTCGGAGTTGCGAGGTTGTGGGGAAAGTTCTGTAGCTGGTTTCCTAGCCATCAAGATTTTAAATCCTCCCAAATTTCCACCAGGTTTACAAGCATCCTCCTTGCCTTGGTTGTAACTTCCTGTCTCCGTCCCATGTATTTTTCCGTAGTGGTCGCGAAACAATTTCTCTACCAAGGCCAAGACCACGTCTCGGTCTTCGAAGAGCAGATCGTCTTTTGCTGGCTCGATGTTGACATCGTACGTTCCTCTAGGACAGCGAATTTGCAAACACACAAAAGGATCGCTAATCGATTTGGTGGATTCATTTTTGGATGCGGCGACACGGAGATACACCTTGAAGATTTTGACTATCTCATGCCCCACCCCCCTACAACTAGAGAGAGGGCGACCATCCACACTGATATATTGGCCTGCATTGTTGATCTTGGAAGTATCTAATTGGTTGTTAACCACATCACCGGATATTCAGAAAGATGAGCTCACCAAATTGTGTCTTTGGAAGAAAGGCGATGACTTCGTACTCTTTCTGATTTAATGATCCTCGGTAATTCTCAGCGGTTCTCGGGCAGGCAATTCGCTTCATGACACAAGAAGAATACACATCTGTGCCGGTTATCTTGAGAGCTGCATCCGAGAGCGAGGCGTCTGCACTTGGTGCATAGGCCCAACTGCTATTTTCATTTTTTGCCTTGAGCACTTTGAACGAGAGCCTCTTCGATGGCTGAGCTATAGCATATGCCTGAAGAAGCTTTTTGATTCTAGTGAGATCTTTCGTGGCACTCTTCACGGCAGTCTGTCTGCGGACAGGGATGTGTTTGAGGAAGTCCGTGATACGAACGGTTGTTCCCACGGGATGTGACTTCCGTTGTGTTCTAATTATGAAAGATTAGCAGTGGTACGGCAGCCAAGAATCTGGCGAGGTCAGTGTACCCAGTAAGCTCTCCGTTTCTTCCGTACTTCAAACAAAACCCGGTAACTTCGGACTCAACTCTAGTGGTGACAGCGAGAACCCCAGACATCTCTGCAACACTGGCAAGGGCTTCACCACGAAATCCCAATGATGACCCGCCAACATTTTTGAGATCATCTAAAGTCCGGATCTTGCTAGTAAAAGCTCGTTTGCAGACATGTTGCTGGTCCTCTGGAGAGATGCCGTGGCCATTGTCTTTAAGCTGTATGACATCCACGGTATTTTGGGAAATTTCAATCTGCAATGACGTGGCAAACGCATCCAGGGCATTGTCTACAAGTTCCTTGATAACCGAATAGGGATCCGAAATGACAGATGTGGAGCCAATCGCCCGGATTGTTTTCTGAGGAAGAGCCTCAATCGGCATCCTGCACGCCTGGTATTAGTTGTTTATCTCCGAAAGCACTAGAATTTATGTCATCTAGCTAATTGAGACAGAATCGAGCAAACAACTTCAATGGCTTATATTCGATGAACGTCGATTCGGCTAATGTCGAAGAAGGATGAGATTGTCTTGGCATTTAGGTCACGTGGCATCTATGCCTTGAAGTGGTGAGGCCCCAGTCCTGTCTGCACACTCCGAATTAGGTTTAGCCCCCTTCATCATCAACCTGTGGGCAGTGACTGTTCACGAGTTTTCACGAGTTTTCATGCTTTAGTTAAATGATATTTTGACGTTCAACTACTTCAATCAATTAAGCTATATATCAAATTTCTTGTTGCCTTTCAACGATTTCTGCGTAAGGCTAGGTATTGACTTGGGAAGATATTTCAAAACATGCCAGAAACGCGACCTGAACTCGAGATAGAACCAGCTCCTTCTATATAGGCGGTATCAGAAGTTTTTGTGTAATTTGACACACAGGAATTCAGATAGGACAACAGCGACTCTTAGCCGGTATAAGGTTATATCTTTCAGACCCACCCAATGTCGCAATGCCTTGACGCGAAGATTTCTGGAATGGAAAGCGAGTCGGATTCCATGCGCTGTTTTCAAGATGACTTTAGTAAATTAAAGAAAGCCAATCGTGTCGCTGAAGTGGTTTTCGGGGATGAGCACGGTCTCCAGGGCCGGTTTCAAAGGTCCGTAGAAGTGCTTAACTATCGTAGATGCGGAGGGACATCACTGGACTGTTTTGAGTGCCTTGAAAATCCATACAAAGAAATACCCGACCTTGTCAAAAATTATTAGAAGAATTTTAAGATGGTCAGGGGCCTCAAGGTTTCCTGGGTAGACATGTACGGCAGCCCCCAATGCCTATGCAAGCGAAGTAGTTTTGTGAGTTCTTGTCGTCCAAACCCTCCAATAAATGAATCAATGAATCGCTTGAAGTGTATGTACATGTTTCTCGGAATTTTAGAATGAGATCATCTTCTTACGTCAACACAATGTCAATAGAGTGTGGACGGTCGATTTTTCTCCATTCTTTCGTGCCTCTACTGAGGTTCCAATGAGTGTGTTCACGGAGGCGCAATAATTCCCCGTGTGTGATGAGCCAGCTCAAAGCGAAGGTCTTCCAAGTTTGGTCAATTTGCCATCAAGAAGGAAATTTATAGGTACTATGGTGTAACCCACCACTGTTTACATGAGTCTTCTTGGTGCCATGTGTCAGGCACTATACTTCCCATAAAGTCTGTGGCGGCGCACATAGTACCAAAATCCACAATTTTAATGAATTTTCGCTCGCACCAATTTGGTGTCGACGATGGCTTGCTTGCTGCCCCACGAGATGATAAGAAAATTTGTTTTGGCCGCTAGAGGAATAGCTAAATTGCATACAATTGGGTATTACACTATCGGAAAAAATCGAGCTTCTACTTGACCAGGGAACATTTGTCATTGTTCCAGTTCTTTGGACCGATGAAATCAAGGATGTGTGATTTAGGAACAATCAAACACCAGTGACCATCCTCGTCGATGATCTTTGTGCATTGGCTTGATCTTCACATGTCCCAATGCAAAGAACCGGGGCACGAATGACACCGGCTTATTTTCATCTCGGGCTGAACCCAAACGCCACCGTAGATTTATCTGTGATTAGTCTACTCTTGTCCATCTAGTAATGTCTGTTATTCGAATTGTTAATCTTTACAGGTAATTTTTTAAAAAAAAATCTTTTGCACAATGAATGCATTTCAAGCCAGTATACACACCTCAGAAGACATCTGAAATGCAAATTGGAGGGGTCTTACATAAATTGTGTTGAATACTGTCGGAAGGAAAAAAAAAATAGGGAATGGTCCTTGTCATGTTTGGAATAGCAATTAGGACGGAGTTAAACGACCGCCTCCCGGAGGCGGTCAGTATTGCCGTCGGGCCAGGACTATATGTTCCTACCCTTCATGTTTTATTAGTTTCTAAAAAAAAGAATTTCATCCTCGGAGTTCAGTTTTCTCTTCCATCCATCAGAATTGCTTTAAGTCCTTCGGGATTTTCTCTTCTGTCAGAAATCAGTGAAGTGCTCCGTTCTGGAAGGCATCAAGTAAGAATCTCTGGAGGAGAAGCTGACTCGCTGAGGGTGGGTCAGGGTTCGGCCTGACAAATACCATCTCGGTCCAGATAGATCAGATTGTTAAAGCCTTGGGTCGCCGAGGACAAAGGCGATATGCGGCCGACTATTTTTGTAATAGAGAAACGCTATGAACAAGCGCTTGGGCACGGGTATCTTGAGTAAATTTATCCAAATTCGTATCACAAAATAAGAAGCTCAACTCATTTCTACATGTCATTCTACGAGCGAGATTGAGACCGGCACAGCCTCGTTAGTCAGCACAGCCACACCCGGGTCCCGATAAACAACACGTCCAACTTTACTCCTGTGCAGCATTTCAGCCTTGCGCACCCAAGCGGCTGAAGACGCTGAAATGTTGGGCGAGGACTTTTCAATAACTAAGCTCGCAGTCCCCGGCGTCAGTGTGCTGATTGCATTCCTCGCCTATACATCACAGTATTTCTTTCTGCACTTCGAGTCTGCGCCACTCACTAGGGACGAGACTTGGAAGATCAATATCTTTGCCCTATGCATCTGGATATGCTATTACCGAACCTGCTTTGTAGATCCCGGTCGACTTCCCAAGGCCGAAGAGCGACCGAAACCCAAAGAGCAAGAAGGTGAGGCACTCGCCAGTCGCCAGCGATGGTGCCGCAGATGCGAAGCTTACAAACCGCCTCGCGCTCACCACTGCAAAACCTGTAAAAGGTTCGATAAGGAATGCCTACTGTGGAGACATTTGCTGATCTTCTCCCAGATGCATTCCCAAAATGGATCATCATTGCCCCTGGACTTCGAACTGTGTCTCACATTTTACGCTCCCGCATTTCATACGCTTTCTATTTTATGCGACGATTGGGATGTCCTACCTGGAGACTCTTCTCTGGCATCGTGCCTCATTTGTATGGAAGAACAGCCATCTACCGAGCGTATGTAACTCGAGTGCTTTACCATGCTTGTCGCTAATGTTGAATAGTATCTAGGCCCCACATTGGGGCAACTCATCCACTTGTTTATACTGCTCGTGGTTAATAGTCTCACAGCTTTCGGTCTCTTTGTCCTCCTGCTTAGGAGTCTTTGGTCGATTGGGTCCAACACAACCACCATTGAAACTTGGGAAATTGAGAGACATGCTACTCTTGTCCGTCGAGCCCGTGTGCTTGGGGGGTATCTTGAGGGTCCTGGAGGAATTCGAGTTCATATTAAAAAGCAGGAATACCCATACGACATTGGAATTTGGGCCAACATCAAGCAAAGTATGGGCGGGAGCGCGAATGTGAGTATGCACGTCCTTGGACTAGATGTCCTAGACACAATAACATGTAAACTGATAAGTTTCTAGTTTTTAAGCTGGTTCTGGCCACTGGCTGCAACACCCGATCGTCGAACTGGCTGGGAATTTGAGACCAATGACTTCGAGGGTGAGTCAGTAGGTTATTATCCCAGCCCTTCGATTACTGATCAATTTGTTTAGATCCCGGTGTTTCATGGCCACCTCCAGATCCAGACCGAATCCCGATACCAGCCAGTGCAAGGCCGCCAGGTAATATCAGCATGCCCACATACGCAACTATTCAAGACGAGATTGATGCCTTCAATCGTCGCAAAGAGGAAGACATGAAGAGATTTCAGAAAATACCGGGTCTACAACGTCGCAAACCATTTCACGATCGCTACAAAAAGGGCGAAAATGCTCGAGGTGATAGCGATGAGTCCGAACCCGACTACGGGGATGACTTAGAGGGCGAAGAAGCCTGGCGAAACGCCGAAGGAGAACGACTACGCGACTTTGGTGTGGATGAGGAAGTGGAATTCTATGACGAGGAAGACATTCCCCTTGCTGTTCTCATTGAGCGACGGAAGCAGCAGCAATCTGCTAACTGCTCCCTTTCCGACGAAAATCTTCGGAACCATTAGATCTTCTTCGCAATACCCCTCAGGCGCACATATCCCAGCCACTGGCTCCCATCCTCACCACGAGTAACCACGTCCCGGAGCACATCGCAAATATGCTGCACTGCAGTATCCCGCTTTTCCTCGGGGAGCACTTCTAAGAACTGGGCTCCCATCAGTCTAACCCATCCCTCCAGGCCACCCTTGGCGTCAGTGGTGAGTTTCGTTGGGCGGTACTCGAGTTCGACATTCTCAACCTTAAACCCGACCTCTTCTAGGGCATTTCTCATCCAGGTATCAGATGGGAAGAACCAGGGGCTTGTCTCTCTTGCTATTTCGATAGTGATACCCCGTTGCACCAGTGCGTAGATAAGGGCTGTGTGAACCTCAGCAATATTCCCGTGTCCGCCCATCTCAAACACATATGTGCCGCCCGGCTTCAGACAGCCGTGGATTGCGCGAAGTGTCGACATGCGCGTCGACTCATCGCGTAAAATCCAGTGGAGGGCTGCGTTGGAGATCCTGTCTGGTTGTTAGAAGTCGAGTTACACAAATCCGGTATCATATATTGTATCAAAGATCTACACTTTATCCCATGATCCATTCACAATGGAGGTGTCTCTCTCCAGATAGCGGCAATCCACAACGCGGAAGCTTGCCTTGGGGCTTGCGTAGTCTTTGTTGGCAGCCTCGATCATGGATGCAGACGAGTCAATGCCTAAAACGGACTCGATGGTGGGAAGGAAGTTCGATGTGAATTTTCCATCTCCACAACCGACATCAAGGACCTTGTCTGTTGGCTTGGGGTCTAGAGAGGTGAGGAGTTTGCCGGTGATTTTTGCGGAGTGCACGAAAGATGCAGAGGCAGAATACGCCTAGGTTTTTTTAATGAATGTGTACAAACAGAACTACGAGGAAAACTTACTTTGACTGACCAGTGATCTTTAGGTCCCTCAGTATTGGACGCCATGGTGGTGTGTTTGACAGATGAAAGCATGGAGAAAGCGGAGAAGTCGTAGTCTTGGCATGGAATATCAGTTAGAAGCAAGGTAAGTGATAGAAAATCAACACAATAGTGCTTCAAGGGCTGTTTCTGTGAAGACTGGAATGGTTTTCTTGTAATTGGGAAGTTCGATGCGTTCTTTTAAATGATTTTCCGTATAGTGGGCAGTTGTTGGAGGATGTATAACGAGGCCGATATCGGACCGGAGTCTACTCAAAAGTCTGCGCCCTACGAGGAATGCACAGACCGAGATATGGAATTTCTACAACATTTCCCTTTTCCAATTAGATGTCGAAGGTGATTGTTAGAGATGCTAGAGATCTACGATGAATGTAGATGTAACTGAAAATCTTGTTACGGACCTACCCGTCACCAATCAGTGGTGACCCACCGGGTACACAGATGGGCCACCGAGAGCCAATCAAGCAACCACGTGATCACAGGAGGAGTATATCCCTGCACGGGGTAGGATATACTCAGAGGGGTCGATCTACCCCGGGGTGTAGGATATACCCCAGGAGCACTGGCGACCCCAGGAAGCGAAGGATATATAAGGACACTCTCTCATGTACTTAGTTTAGTTCTTCGTCTTCAATCATACATTGTTACTTGTGTTTACCTTGCGACCTTGTTGACTCACTTACTATATTATCACTTGACAACACCAACGAACAGACCAATACTGCGGTATAGATCTGCTCGGCGCTCTACCTGGCATCGTTCCCTGATACCCTCAAAAGGACTTAGGCTGGATAAGACTGTGCGCAGCAACAGCTCTGTTGAGAGACAGATCATTGACGTTGGAGGACCAGCACAGGCAAGTATAACCAGGAAAGCTTCTAACATAATTGTGACCAGTTAGGCAGTGCGTAACATGTCAATGGGAATCTGATCTGTTACGACCTGTCCCTGCCAGTCATCTCCTATCATACCGTCCTGCCAGCCCGCACCCTGACAAAATAGCTTTTAAAACTAGGGGTATATCGAAACTAAAGGTATAACCTATAGCTAAAAACAGTGTAAAATACCCGAAAACATACGGACTAATATAATAGTGTCGCACACATAAATTGTACGTAACACTTAGTTAGCTTTACCCGTGCAGATTTTTAAAAAGAGCGGATTTTGTCATTTTAGTTAATTAGAGAACTCAGAATACTTTTCATGCCACATCTATTGGTAGTCCCATACAGTGTTGAAACCATGGATCTCTGTGAGAAAACTAAACCTTTAGGTGAGCCCACCTTTTTGCTAACAGATGACCCCACCTGCGTTCTGGGTGCCTACAATCTAGTTCGGCATGCCCCCACGTTATGCAGAGAACATTGGATTTGTAATCACAAGTCAGGATTAAAAAATATCGCTGCATGCCTTCTACGCGGCTGCCACGCATTCCTAGCCCCTTCAATCGCTAAAAGTCCAGACATAAACTTGCAACGTTGGGCACCAAGCGGATATCGCGGAACAATTCCCATGAGCTCCACCAACTTTCACTAGACAAAAAGTCCCCCGCATCCCTACAGATAAATTATATTGCAAAGCCGATTCTAACAAGGTTGCTGCATATCTGAGATTCACAAAAAATCGCATCTGTTGGCCAATCAGAAATCATGTCTTATCAAGGCCATTGCAATTGCGAGAGTATTCTCATCACTCTTCTCCAGCAACCTCCAAGCTCAGTTATTTGCCATTGGTAGGAAATATTCCTGGGCCTTTGGAATATATCTGTCATCTTTATCATTGCATACTAAACTGAAATTCAAAATTCAGCGACTGTTGCAAGCGAGCAGGTGGTGGCCGTCAGTACATTCGCCAAGACCGAGCGACATCGCACATTTTGCTTACAACCATCTTAGCATTCTCTGTAAACTACATTGTCGATGAGGCTGAATTGACCATCGACGATCCGCATGCAATATTGAAGCTCTACGATGACAAGAAATCGATCAGTGGAAACGTTGTGAAGGTAAAATCGAATCTTTTCATCCATCTCTGGTTTGTTAGACGAAAAACTAATGTCTGGACCCTGAGGTAGCGTTATTTCTGCTCCAGCTGCGGCAGGTATTTGAAATTATTCAAGTCTAGCAATAACAATTGCTGAAAACCATCATAGTCCAGTGTTCACCAAAACCCCTAAGGCTCCTGGAAAGGTCTTTTTGAAGGCTGCCTTATTCGACAGTGTCGCCCATCCTAAAACCGAGGTGTTTACCAAGAAGCAATACCAGTGGGTTACTGTTGAGAACGGAGAAAGGCAAACGTAAGATTAATGCGATGCTCCAAATTGAGAAGATGTTTTGAGAAACTATATGTGAAGGGAAAGTAGATTTATATTTAGCGTTATTTAGCGTTATGTTGTGCGGTGGCATAGTTTCTCGAAATCCTATAATTGGTCAAATCCTTACAAACACATAAATTTACTTGCTACAAAACTCATTTACGGTTTTTTCCATATAGTGTAGCTTCAAGATTGTTTACGAACAGTCGAGCTTGCTAAGACAGAGGGTAGCCGTCAAGATGCGGGGGCAACGCCGTTCCGTGAAGACCCTGTTTTCACCCTCCACCCCTTGGACAACGATGAAAAGCGCACGCCGTAGCCATGCCACCGTCTCAGATCAGACATAACTCATAACATGATGACAGAAGCCCCTGTTCAACCATCTGGTCCTAAACGACCATCTAGCGCCATCTTGCGGAACACCCGACCGCGCGACAACGACAACAACTTAGATCCCCAAGAAGTGCTCGAGCTCCAAGAGATCCAAACATATGAGGACAACGAACTGAACTGCTCAACACCATCTGCTTCATCCGGTGACGACGATCGCGTTGTGACACGTCGCAGCACGTCACGCACTGTCGCATCACGTGCAGTGGCGCAGCAGCGCCGACAAGCTCGAACGGGGATTTGGGGCACGCTCGCTCGCCTTTGGACAAATAATGTTACCCTCACGGTGCCACACAAGAGTAGTCGGGACTACTTCGGTGCGTATCCTGCGATAGCGATTGTGGCTGCAATTTTCTGATCTGTACAATACTGACTCCGCCCGCAGCTCTGGAGAGAACATTCCTCGCATATATGCGGACCTCTCTTGTCGTTGCCCAGCAAGGCGTACTGATTGCGCAGCTTTTCCGTCTGCAGGCGGCGGAGGCGTTGGCGGATCGTCTTGGGTTTCGACAGGTCGGTACGCCCCTCTCAGTCGCGTGTCACTGTGTGGCTATTCTAGTAGCTTTGGTTGGGGCGTATCGATTCTGGAGACAGCAGAATGCTATTTCTAGGGGTAAGATATATGCTGGAGGCTGGGAATTGAATTCAGTTGGTATATTACTGGGTTGTGTGAGTTCGATCCAACCCATTTTTGGTCTTAACCATGTGGCTGATGCTGGCTAGATTTCTCTAACTGTGTTTATTATATCGATTGCTATCATCATAGAGAGTGGTATAGACCCGCCTGCCTTTGTTCGACGAATATGAGGTGGGTGAGTGGCGGCTGTGGACCATGCAGCTGTAGATTTGTATTGATCATGTCTTGGAACCTCAACCCATTTTCAACCTTATAGCTATGCTAACTTCATATAAATCTAATGGCTTACGGTTATTTAGCTGCACAGCCCCCTTACCACTACAATGTGCGCAAAGCCTCTGCTCTGTTGACTTGTTTGATATGTACAAAAGCCAAGATGATCATTTGATATGACTTGGCCCACCTGCTGGGTCCGGTGGAGCAATAATAGGGTGCCCGACTGGGGCTAAATCTGTCTGACCTTACGCTTCCTCTTTGCATCAAGCTCCCTTCTGTCGGCATACCACAATCACTGATCATCCAATTCCGAACGTACATTTTGACCAAATTCGGCCACCCTGGATGAGGCCCCATCAAAATGACACCACCTATTAATCTGGCATGTTTACCACAAAGGTGACGAGCGCATCTCAATAACACCATTCTTTAACCCGAGAAAAGAATCCAGACACCACAAAGAGAGACACTTAAAGCTTCGTAGCTGGATACTCCAAATGCTGGCAAGATGGGAGTGTCGCAGTGATCTAAGCAAATCAATTCTCAGCGATGACCATGCATTAAAAGGGCATACTAGGTTCCGGTCCTGGAGGGTGGGGGGAAAGTGGTAAAAGTTATCACCATCGGATGAATGCAAGATGAAAAGCGGAAAAGCAGAAAAGCAGGAGTTGACCAAAGAAATGAAAAGGAGCTCCCTTTGGGATTGAGAATGTCGCTGAAGGGAAACAAAGCTTGGGTCATTCACGAACAGAATGCTTCGGCCTTCTTTCTTGCTCTGCAGCACCACAGCCGGATATGCCCCAGTCAGATGTAGCTGAAGAAGCAGTTCGGCATATCTGGAGCTCTGCGTTTTCGTTGAACCCCCAACGCTATAGTTTCGAATACACCAGAGCTGCGTAAAGGGGAAATGCGTCTAGCATAAACTTCCTTACTGCATGTTTGAATTATTTGTATTTATCCAAGTCTATTTGAAAGACAACATTTTCAACACGTGGTACTTCATTCTCATGGGCTGAATCTCTGAGCGTAAAGAAAGACTTTAAAAGTGGAACAGTTATAAATTTTTATTCATTTGATGAAACTCGTAGGCTATTAAATAGTGGCAATAATACATGAAAGTATTCAATTCTTCCGGTATGATACATGAGGACTCGATGGTATAAAAAGAGTTACAGTGATCGCAGTGTGGTTTGCTTGTTCGAAGATCTTGTCAGGAAGAGGCACGAAGCTCCTCTTCAAGAAGATGCCATTTTCTAGCAACCTCTGCCCGTTCATCGGCGGTAGATGCCCGCATGTCTTCAATACCCTGCGCTATGCGAGATGCCATAATAGAAAGCTGCTGACTCCTACCTAATGATTTTTGAAGCTTTAGGCGAAGTCCAACCAAGGGATATCCGAAGAGCCCGCAGATACCTAGAAATTGTTCAGTCAAAATGAGATTCACTCGGGGAAAGAGCAATCCTGTGAATTAGAGCGTTCGCATACCTGCTGGTGGCTTCAGAATTACGCCGCCAATTCCTTTCCCAATTCCCTTGACCATTCCTTTCGTTCCATGGTGCTTAGCACCATATTGGGGCTGGGTGACCAAGCCCGTGATGCCATAGTAGAAGCCATCTCGAAGTTCCTATACAAAGCTCAAAGATTAGATTGTACTTGCTGGAAACTGAAAAGAGGAACCATACTGTTTCAGCTGCCGCGAGTCCACTCCGGAAGCCGGTGACCTTTGGCGTTTCTTTGACCATTTGGTCATGGTAAAACATCGGCGCATTATGGAACCCTTTGGAGAAGCTGAGAGTTACGTCCGTTGGGAGCCAGAGTATATTTTTCAAGAACTTCTTCGACATCCGACTGCTGTGGGTTCGAATTTCGTACATAGTACCATGGCCCTTGGGTGACTTCATATAGCTCAAAAGCTGGTTCTCGTCAACGGGTACGCCTTGTCTCTGACCAGCAGCACTAGCTGGTAAGTTGTGGTTCATTTTATTGTGCCTCACGTTGTCGTTTTCGTCATCGTTCGTGTCAAGGCTTATGCCGTCGTTGTCATCATGAGTTGGACGGCCAAGTCCATGGCATTCAGAAGGTCCATGATACTCGGCAGGCTCACGATACTGCTCCTCATCACTATCCAGGGTTGTATCCTGACTTCTGCGGGTTTTCCTCGAAGTAAATCTTGATGAGGGACTACTAAGTGGACGACTTTGACCTATCGCACGACCAGCGGTAACAAAATCCGAAACTATGTCGTAAGGGACCTCGCCGATCCCGGTCACAAAGTTCGCAATGGCTCCAACTAGCACTTGAGCTCCTGCGCTAAAAGGGCCCGTGGGATTCCGGTACGTGTCATATTCTGAAGCTCGGTTTCTGGTCACTTGGTTAGTAGTCTGGAAATATCATGTCGAAAGCCAACATACAAAGCGACATCTTCTGGTTTGATAGCCCCCATCTCAACCAGTACTGATGCAGCAAAAGCACTGAGTCCAATGGAAGTTTGCTTAATGTGCCACACAGCAGGACGATCGGGACATATTGCGCATTGTAAAGTCTTCAACTTGAGATGCCGATGAAAGCTGCGCACCCCATCCTTCACACCGGATTCTTTCCTCATCTTATCTGCAATTTCTTGTGCCTTCTCTTGAGTTGATGATTTCAGCGCTGTCCGAATTGCGTCGGTCAACTTCTCAACTGTGAGTTGCTTGTGAGGTACAGGCACCGGCCCAGCACCAGCCACAGCAACGATTCCTCCCCAAAACTGTTGATCTCCAAAAAAAGGAACAATAATGGTTGGACGTCCAAGGGAAAGCCCTGCAGCAGTGGTGCCCGCACCGCCATGGTGAATCACGCATGATACGTGCTGGAATAACCAGTCATGTGGTACGCTGCCGACGATGAGGATGTTATCTGGCACATCGACTTTGTCGACTCCAAGGTTTCCCCAGCCTTTTGAAATGATTGCACGCTGGCCGGCGTTCTTAATTGCTTCGAACACGATTTGAGTTAGTTTGACTTGATTTTCTACCACAATAGAGCCGAATCCAACGTAAATTGGAGTGGGCCCTGCTTTGAGGAAGTCATCTATCTCTTTTGGGGGTTTGTAGTCGGACTTTGCGGGTAGCACACTAAACCCGCAAATGTCGATGTTCTCGGCCCAATCGCGTGGCTTTGGCAACAATGCCGGCGACCTGAAGTAAGTTACAATCAGTGAATGGTCAAAATCTGCTGACCTCGGGTCATCACATACCACAGATATGAGAACGGAACGCCGAGGCGTGCGGGCAAATTCGGCGCAGTGATTGAGTCCAATGGATCGAGTGTGAGACACTTCTTCCGCCACGAGTTGACAAGATCTCCCAGTCCCTCCCAAATCATCATATCCACCACGGTGTAAGACACGAGGTTTGCAATTGTTGGCTTGCAATCCTGCTGGTGGAGAACGGCTAAAGGATGCGGAAATGACTGGGTAGCCGACCAGGGCATTCTATGAATTTTTAGTTGACAAGCCTCTCACTTTCTTATCTTAGAAGTACTCACGTGAACATTAGGTGAAGTGGAATCCCCAACCGCTGTGCGCAATGGATATGGCCCAAGCTGGGCGGGTTAGCAATTATTGCATCAGCAACAAACGGCCTTCGACGATAGTCCACCGTGTCACTCCAGAGATCCTCCTTAATTTGATGCAAATCTGTACCGTCGCCTGTTTCAATACATGACTTCCAACATCCATTTATGATTTCCTTCATTTCGCGCCTGCGTTTTTGGATGGCGCCGCTGCGAATCGTCCTGAATGCGGGAAGGAGGGATGGATTTTGGACCATGAATGCCATCAATTCCTCAGGGTCTCCACCGATATTAAAGAACTCCAAGCCGCCGTCAAGCACAAAGTCCCGGAAAATGAGGTGGGTTGCTAGCCGTACGCGGTGTCCATGTGCTTTCAACTCTTTGCCCAGCGCAAGGAACGGTTGGATGTCGCCCCGGGATCCGATAACTTGAATAACGATGTTCATTTTCAGCGGGAAGTCTTTCCCCCCGTCTTTTGGTATTGGTTCTGGAGTCGGTTCGCCCTCTAACTCCTCTAGGTCTGGTGGCGGAGTTGTCGTTTGGATACGATTCAATAGCCCTGCCAGTTGTGGAATATGCTCGTTGATCTTTATATCTAGCCGACCATCGCCTAGAACACAGTAACCGTTAGTCACTCAGTTTCTGACGCTTCATTGGAATCACGAACTCAAGACTTTGACCCCAGTATTTCGTCTGTCTCCGTTGATATACTTCCGCTCGTGATGCGGAGAAAGTGAAGCATTGACTTCCTCGGGCCAGTCTTCTGATCGTATTGACCCACGGAAGCTGGATCTGCGCCTCGTAGTTTGTGCAGCCAAGTCCATTCTTTGCGGGACATCGGCCTGATGTGGCCAACTAGAGTGACACAATTCAAGATTGACAGGGGGGGGTCAGCGCGGGTTAGATAAATTATAGCAAAATTGAGTATTTTCAGGTATTAAAATCAAGGATCACATTCTGCTGGACTGAAGACTATTAAAAAAAATATGATCACCTGGGTAGCTTTGCTCGATGATGTCAGAAGGGTCCCATTACCGCCGATGCCGGATTCTGCCTGCAGAATCTTCTGTAACAGGACGATTTTACCTAGTTACTGTGGTTATGCTTAATTAAGAATTTAATTCTTATTCTGGATAGCTCATTATTTGACACTTGATGATTTAATACTCACCTGCAAGTACTCTACTCTATAACTCTCTACTTCATCCGTACCAGGTGTTAATTTAAATTATAATGTATCGCACAAAATGAAGCAAATTTCTAGCAGAAGCAGAAAAAATCCTGCCATGCAAGCGGTCAAATTTAGAAGAAAACGTGAGCTGGCGGTAGTAGAGTGCCGAAGTCCCGAGCTTCCTTCCTGATCTTCCGTGGTCTCGGAACTTTCGGGGCCTCAGAATCTGATTAGTCATCGGTTTACTACAACCCTGAAGCTCCGGAGGTAGATGTTCCCTTTGGGAGTATTTTTCCATTAAGGTAAAATAGTATTGCCATCCAATACGTTTTAAATATTGTGGCAAACATGGTTTGAAATCTAATTGTAGAATCTACTATATGATTCTATGTGGCTCTTGCAATTTGCGGCATAAGAAGTCGAATGCCTTTGCTGTATGTAGTAGGGCAGAATCGCATCAATACTTGGACCACGTATGAAAGAGGTCCAAGCTCTAGACCCTGTAAATTCTCTATAAAATGCCTTCAAATTTCGAGATCAGATTAGTGGAAAGACTCTTTTAATAGACCAAACAACTTGCCTTCTCTTATCTCAAGATCACAGCTAGATCTTGTCTGCATTTCTTTCCGTTGACATTTCCATTCGACTAGCAGCATCTCCAAAGAACCAACCATTTTAATAATCATATACTTGTCGTCACGAAACTGTGAAAATAGATAGACCGTGAAAAAGAAGGCATAAATCTAGTTTTCACCCGTTCACAAGTGTATAAACTGGGGATAGAACTTACTACGTAATTTACACGCCAGAAATCCAGGCGATAATCAAGACGGTCCTTGTAAAGTTTGTCTTAGATACCCGTGAAATACATAGCTGAGCCAGTTTCTTAGGCTGCGATCTTTGAGAAAGCTCTCTCAAAAATCACGAAGCCGGACACCTTACTCGTCATCGTCTATACAGTCGACTTATTCTGCTGCCTTGAATAAATAAATGTATATGCTATCCGTTATCACATCGATGCGGACAGCTCGCTCGATTTTTTGGGATCTAAGACAAAAGGCCCTCGCCCTTTCTCGTGTTAGGATGAAGTTTTTCTGCAATTAAAGCAATGCTCGAACGCTGATAATTTTACAAGGTTAGCATCATTGTGCTGAACTACAAAAGCTGCATAGGAAAGAAAGGTCTTACCATTATATCATAGGCCGGCATGCCCGCACTAAGGATAAACTTGATCGCTTTCAGTAGTTACGTAGACGTTGTGAGTATTTCTTCCAAGTACGATGCATTGGCAGACTCTGTTAGGGTCGTGAATTAGCCATCAAGCCGTCGAACAATAAAGGTCGGAGAAAGGTTTCCGATAGAATCAAGAAGACTCACTTTGTGTAACTCGCACGATTCTGATGATTTAGTAGTCAAAATCTTTAATGAGTCCCACTGATTTTGGCTGGTATCATGTTAGCCGCAGCTTTGCACAAATGGTTCGGTTTATGAGATTGCTCTCTGTCTTTCGCAAGCCATACAGGCGACACCCCCCAATATCCTGACCCATGATGGGTTTTGTACCTTCCTTCAAGGTATGTCCGAGGGTGATCGGGTGGAAGTCCCTGGGTTTGTATGTCAAAGATGACTTCTGAGTATAGTTGAAAAATTTTCTTGCAGAGCTGAGATAATTACATGTTCAAACGTTAGAGGAATGAGAATATGGAGACACTTGGGGTGGAGACGCCATAGGTCACAAAGAAATCTTTCCCAGCCATGCGGGATGTGCCGAGATTTGAGGTTTCATCGGACTAGCGAGACTAGCACGGGAATGCTCCCGAATGCCCCTTACAATGTTAGCAACTGAATGATTGGCTATACAAAGGAGCAGAATGTCGGGATTCATCGGGATCAGCATGTCAAACATCTGATTGGTTAAGCATGCGAATTCACCGCCTCTTATTCGATTCTATGTTACAATCTATGACCCAAGATCTTTGACATTATGCTGAGATTACTTCCGGCTGTCTTTTGTGGGGTCTTTGGCATTGGCTCGGAAATACAAATCCATGGGCATCCTTGTATATACTGAACTAGAAGAGTATGACGTTGAGTTACAATGCACTCCGATTCTTCTAAAAGAGGACTTTTCAGCCGGCTATGGAAGGAAAATCGTATCCGAGCCGGAAAATGGTGTCCGACTCGGTGAGATTCTGGGGCCTCGCGAATTGGGCATGGGTAGCTTAGCGGGTCTTCCCCGCATTCTCCACCGGTCGATGGCGATGAGTCCTAACTCTAAATCGTCAATTTCATACTAAGGGCAGTGCAAAGGGGGAAACAGGTTGCAGTAATTACAGGGGCTGTGTTTGATGTAGAAGTTGCATCAATAAAATTCACAATCCACGCTTTTGCTTATATTTGAAAGATATCTTCAATTTTTGGTTTCTCAATTGGATCTTTGATCATTATTACCCAGTTCTAATATCGACCGGTTTTCCTAGCTACTAGAGAGTCAGATGATGGCGGAGAACAAAGAATCCCCGGAGACCGAACATTTTGAATCAGATTTGAAATCGTGTCCTTCTACTCTCATACCTTTCCCTGGGTCCACAAGACAACCATATGGCGAACCTGGTATTAACACCCTCCACTTTCTCTGTATTCATCACTCTCTAATTCAAATTCCTGCATTAAAGGTCTAAAGGGTATCCTCACGAACAAATATGTAGCAGCATGCGCCGCCTTCGCAACATTAGGCGGGGCCCTGTTCGGCTACGACCAAGGTGTCGTATCCATCACCCTTACAATGGACCAGTTCCTCGAGCGATTCCCGGAGGTTGGCCCCAATGCACCTGGTTCAGGATTTCAGAAAGGTATCCTCACTGCCATGATCGAGCTGGGGGCCTTTGTTGGAGCCATGAACCAAGGATGGATTGCCGACAAGATCTCTCGCAAGTGGTCTATCATGGTTGCAGTGGTAATTTTCCTCTTAGGTTCCGCCCTACAAACTGGAGCTATGAGTTTTGAAATGCTTGTAGGTGCCCGGTTTGTTGGAGGTTTTGGTGTCGGTATGCTGGCTATGGTGGCACCGCTTTACATTTCTGAGATCGCGCCCCCGGAGATTCGTGGCACATTGCTTGTTCTGCAGGAGCTTGCAATTGTTACTGCTGTCGTAGTTGCTTTCTACATCACCTATGGTACAAGGTATATTTCTAGTGAATGGTCGTGGCGCCTTCCTTTCCTCATTCAGGTGCGCCTCCCCTGTCAGTCCTGAGTTGTTATTTACTAATCAATCCTACAGATGATCCCTGCCTTATTTCTCGGTGTTGGTATTCCATTCCTACCTTATTCACCTCGTTGGCTCGCTGGCCGAGGCCGAGATGAAGAAGCACTTCAGGTTCTCTGCAAGTTGCGTGGTGTCGACCCTACTGACGAGCGCGTCATCCGAGAGTGGGTTGAGATACGCTCCGAGGTAGCTTATTGTAAGGAAGTGAGCATCGTGAGACACCCAAATTGGCAGGATGGAAGCCACACCAGCCGTGCTATGCTTCATTTTTGGAGCTACCTGGACTGTTTCCGCAAAGGGTGTTGGAAGCGTACGCATGTCGGTATCGTACTGATGTTCTTCCAACGTGAGTGTTTGTCTACCGGGGTCGTTTTACCAATCTGCATTGCTTTTCCTGATTACACGAACTGACTCATTTCTTCCCGCAGAATTTGGCGGGGTCAACGCCCTCATCTACTACTCACCCAGTCTGTTTGCAGGAATGGGTCTAAAATACGAGATGCAACTCCACATGTCCGGTGTTATCAACATCTGCCAGCTGTTAGCCTGTTTCTGGTCACTATGGGGAATGGATAAATTCGGCCGGAGACCTTTGCTCTTTGGTGGTGCTAGCTGTATGGCTCTTGCGCATCTCATCATCGCTATACTTATGAGCCAGTACCAATCAAACTGGCCTGCGCATTCAAAAGAGGGCTGGGTTTGTGTCGCGTTCCTGTGCTTCTTCATGCTCACCTACGGAGCTAGTTGGGGTCCTATTCCTTGGGCCATGCCGGCTGAGATCTTTCCTTCCTCGCTACGTGCTAAGGGTATGGCATACTCCACAATGTCGAACTGGCTTAACAACTTCATAATCGGGCTCATTACTCCCCCACTTATACAGAATACTGGATATGGGACTTATGTTTTCTTCTGTGTATTTTGTGGCTTGTCATTTATTTGGACGTGGTTTTTCGTCCCGGAGACAAATGGAAAAACTTTGGAGGAAATGGACTCTGTCTTCGGGGATAATACTTCGACTGTCGAGACAGAACAGAGGGCGAGGATTGAGGCTACAATTTGGGCCCATGCTGCGGGACGATCTAATGGACTCCAAGGCACTCATCAAGTTACTTAGATGGGCAATTTTGCTTTCAGCTGGGATCTTCGATGTTGTGGGTGTTCCAACTGTATTCGGTTTTTCTGCAGCTGTTAAGTGGGTATCTATGAGACCCCTCTGTTTCCTGCTAGTTATGCTTTCTGTCCACTGTAAGTTCTTAGGAGTCCTCTGGTCTTACTAGAATACCAAAAATACCAGATGCAGGTCAGCTACTAATATGCACGAGGACCCCTTCCTTAAGACTATCTGATCTGATAGATGTCTAGGTTTGTGATGAAAACCAGAGAAGAAAAAAAGCGCTCGCTGAGATCACTTGCTGCAATCAGCAAATGAAAAATAAGGCATAAGAAACACCGTGCAATTCTTTCCTCAGTTGTCTAAGCCGTACACACTCAGATCCTGGCTCATTGTAGGAAGCGCCCAAACAGCACTTTCCCTCCCGCCGAAAACCTTCAGTTTTTTTTGTCCTCGAAACTCGAGCCCAATCTTCGCTAACACCCTGGCACTGTGGGTATCATCTTTGCCACAGAATCCAAATACTGAGTCGACCCCAAGTTCCCTCTTCGCATACCCCATCAATGCAAGTGCGGCTTCGGTTGCATATCCCTTCCCAGTTTCCGTGGGCAGAAATGCATATCCAATGTCGGGTGCCAGGTAAGCGTTCGGTGGCTCGCCTCTCATCAATGATACGGAGCCAATGGGGGTGCATTCGGCTAAAGACGCGTTCTCATGTGGCTTCAGTGAAACCAGAAACATGCCATAATTGTTTCGGGCGTAGTCAGCATGAACGCGGTTGCGAAGGAAGTCAGAGGCCTTCTCTGCTGTATCGATACCGGTACGACCGCAAGTCCTCATGAACTCCTTACTGTTCCATAATTCGACTAGGAAAAGACAGTGCTCGGGGGAGTCGGGTAAAAAGTAGGAGATATGAAGGCGGTCACTCTCAATCGAGAACGTTGGAGATGCCTCAAACTGAGAACTCATGTTTGCGTGTTTCACTTTACGGTCACGTAGTGTCCAGGGTTTCAGATGAGAAGTGATTGGTAAGAGAAAGTTGTGGGAGTTGAAAAATCCAGTAGGGGGTGCTATCGACTGCAGCAATACCCCCGCGCGTGCTTGAGGGAACAACGAAATGGGTGATGAGACCCACGCTCCAGCCTAGACCAGCTGACCTATCCTGCGATGGCCCTTGCGTTGATCTAGGCTAGAAGATTGATTAGGCAATTTGACATAATAGAAATTGCGAATTTTCGTTATCTGGGAGACCGTCGGGAACCCCGACTGGTGGAAGATAGACGGCTCAGCGCCAATCTCGAAATAGAATGGCGGGATGATCTTCGAACCCTTGCATCATGAAGGGGCGCATCACCCGTACTTTTCGCAACACCTTCATCTCACATTCCCAGTTTAATCAGAGTGGACTTGATCAGAGCAACGGGATGATCATGGCTTCGGGCCATGCCGCTATCTGTTGCTCCCCGCACTCTGGTAATTTACGCAATCGTACCACCGTACCTCGCTAAATACACACATGAGCCGCGCTAGTATTTATCAATATGCAGTACAGAACACGGTCATCGATGTCATGTGCGTACATGAGGTGTTGATGCGGACTGGGACTAAACATTGAGGCAAACAGGTACTGGCGTGGGTAAAACAAGTCTTCATGGCTCGCGTAAGTATTTTACGGAGCTTGGTCCACACTGAAAGTTTAGAATAGTGCCACCTTTCAGAACATATCGAAGTATCAACAGTGGTTTTATTGCTGCAGATAGAGAAAACCAATGGACGGTCCAAATCTGGATATTTCCAACAAGGCAAGTATGCGCTAACGAAGCAACTCTTCAGACTCGTGTCTCTTAGCAGCCTGCCATTTCCTTAGCGCGTTGAAGTCGATACATTCGTGCACGACCCCCCATCCCAGCCCTCCAGCTGTCAGCTCTGGCGATGTCCCCGGTGGACTGGCAGGTTCCATAACCAGGAAGTCTCCGCATGTGATTGAAAGACGAAGATATTCAAAGCAGTGGTCAGTATGCTCAGTCCAGCCTGCTGTAATTGCCTCTGATTCGTTGACGGGTTGGCTGATTTGAGACTCGAAGTGGCGGAAACGTCGCCGAACAACATTCTGATGAAGAGTCATTAGTCTGATTTATTAGAAACCCACAAATTCGATTCTTCGGAGATCTTAATCTGACTTACAACACAATGAAGTTGGTGAAGGTTTGACAAGACGTAAAACCGCTCATCCAGGTTGTCCGTATTCAAAGGATCAGAGATACCCTTGTCTAAGTTGTAATCTGATGGATTTTGTAGCCATACAGAGTCACCTCCTGGAGGTTGAGAGTTAATTTTCATTTGCCGCACACTTCTATCTCCGGTGGGATGATAACAGAAGAATAAAACCAGCTTACCGCTCGTAATTTCGTTCCAGGCTTTATCAACGGAATCGCCACTACCATAGTATCTGTTGTCAGGCACAAATGGTACTTTCAGTCGCTGCTGAAAGATCTTGTTGGGTATGGGAGTCTTTAGGCGTACTCCTGGCACAAACTCGGGTCTTTTGAAGAATGAAAGACCGGCAAAGCCTAGAGCAGCTCCCAGTACAAAAACGGTGGGGAGAAGGATGATATATGCCCTGGAAAGTCTTTTGGATACAAGATATCGACTCTTAGGTTCACCTAACAGGGTTTCACTAGATCTGGATTGAGCATCATCGGCATGTCGGTATTTCTCGCTATGTACGTCCGCAAGTGTATTATTTCTGGCCATTTTGGATGGCAGTATCCTTAGAACCTTTTTTGGCAGTGATCGAAGATGAATAGAGTCAAACAATTGAAATGGGTTTGAGCGGAAAGGATTGTAGTTGGGAAAAATCGAGTAGCAATGAATGATAGAATGCGTATGCAGGGTAGGGAACAGTTGTCTTCCAGGCTTTCACCCTTGAAATATGCGGAAGCTCTCGTTTTAAGACAATAATTCAATACAGTTCGGTGGAGGCATAGAATAAGGGTCCTATTGATATACACTAACACGAATTGATACGCATCACTGCTGATCCACTGAACAGAGGATCATGAGCATTACCGGCATATCTCCCTATTGTTTTGGTTATTGATTCAATGTATAAAGCGTGCTACTGCTAAGATATGAGGCAATTCTGAAATGTTGGTGAGTTTTAGAAAAAGGCGAGATATGCAGTTAGCAATCCCTAGCTTGATGCAAGTTTACGCACCTTTTAATCCATGGACAGCCACGGACTGAAAAGAGGCAGAGTCGCAGGCATTCCATGTAACGCCGCGAGACCGACCGAAGTAATTGGTCAGAAGCACGCAATCCCCGCTTGCGACCATGTCCTCGCTGCCTTGACACAGCTTTTGATTCTCATGAGAGGGGGCACGAACAACCGATGGAGATACTCTCTGTAAAAGGAAGATCGACATGAGAAAGTTCAGCTCACGGACTTGCAAAGATTCAACTTTTGGCTGTGTGGCTATTCTGGGCCGGATTTTATAAATACTTTGCAAGTTGACCACCTGAAATACATTTTCATCGACATCAATATCAAGCTTCAAAACCTCACTCTTCACACACATTCCAATCTTCCGGTTTTAAGTTGACGAGCAAATGTGAGATCAATCCTGCATGTTAAATTTACGTCCAGTGTACGAAGACTAATTGTATATAGTCTTCAATATGAAGTTCATCGCCATCCACGCTGTCCTGGCAGTTGCATTGGCTGCAGTCTCCAGTGGTTTGGCTATCAATTCCAAGGCTGCAGCGAAGCCTGAAGCCCCAGAACCTGCCTGGGTCTGGTCTTCCAAGCGCGATGCTAGAGAGGATGCAAAGACCGATACTCTGGAGCCCGCCTGGGTCTGGTCTTCCAAGCGCGAGGCTAGAGAGGATTCAAAGACCGATACTCTGGAGCCCGCCTGGGTCTGGTCTTCCAAGCGCGATGCTAGAGAGGATGCAAAGAC